ATCCATCCATCCATCCATCCATCCATCCATCCATCCATCCATCCATCCATCCATTTTCTGAATTGCTTATTCCCAAATGGGGTCGCAGGGGGACTGGAGCCAATCCCAGTATTCAATGAGCGAGAGGCAGGGTACGCCCTGGACGGTGCGCCAGTGCACTACTCTGAAATTCGAACATGTTTGCAACTTGTTTTTCATTACATAATTCTTTAAAAAAAAAAATGAATCCAACATTTGTGAGCAAAAACAATGTTTTATCTCAAGGGATGTAGCTCCATTCATTACCCCTGTATATATTTCGGGACTAAATTATTTTTGTCATAATACCAGTAAAAGCCCAGTGTATCCCAATATCTAATCACTGTAAAGGAGTTGATTAAAATAATACTGACTTAATGATTACAGACTTTTAAATCTGTTTATATTGCAGGCAGAAATAAAACACAATATGTTTGAAGGCACACACACACACACATATATGTGTGTGTGTGTGTTTGATAAAATGTATTTTGGCAGATAAAGAATAAGGTTAGCCAGACAGCTTCAGGAAATACAGAGCTTCTATTGAGAGATGTGCTGAGTATGTGCCATGGGTAACAGGTTTTATATGGGCAGTTTGTTATTACAGCAAACGTTTTATTACCATCATCCGCCATGGTTGCAAGTCTGCAGTTTTACACCCAGGATGAAAATGTGCAATTACTCCCGCTGCAGTTACAGCCCATATTTTACATAAATAATTAGTTCACGTCTGTAACAATTTTTTAAATACAATTTAGACTTAATTGTTGGATTTGATACATTTTTGAAAATTTGTGCTTTTTTCAGGTTTTAAAATGTAGAAAGTGTATAAGTGTTAAATCATGGCTCATGACTGGTAAAACTCATTGTCCTATCTTGCAGTCTGAAAAAGGGAAGAACTATATATATATATATATATATGCTACTTGCTGCAGTCTGCAACCATTTTCAACATGGAGGAAAGCATTCTTTTAGCTGTTTTTGAATTTCCTATTTAATTATCCTATTATTCTATGATATGCATAAAAAGGCAGCCGATGATATTCACCATATTATCTGTGTTTAATTTTTTGTAATATAGGATTAACCTAATGTTGTCTTTTTCTTTTGTAGAGGAGACTTTTAGAGTCTTCTTGCTCTGAAGAGGATCATTGCCTTGTTGGACTGCTTTGAAAATGTCAAAATCCCTTCAATTTCATAACAAATCAAATTTTTTTTAGACGAGTGACGTGATTTGCAACGCTCCCATTGTTATCACCTCTCGTGTGTTGTTTCACCTCATTAGTGATAAGGGCCATTTGCCGCTCCCTGTGTGTGTATGATAAGCTCCCTGGAACAACGTCATACCAGATACTGAAAGTGCTTACACACAAACAGACCACCCCACTCCGAATAAGCAGTATGGATAATAGATTACTTTTTTTATACCTTTCTAATGGAAGGATAAGGTGGCAACAGAATCCAAAGACAACAACAATTATAATAATTATAACATTGCTCATAGTATTTTAAATGTACATATCTTTATATAATGGGTTTTCCATCTTTGCACTTGTTTCCTAGGCAGGCTAGGGAGATTGTCCTCAAGTACGAAGGCCGACTGACAAGAACAAGAGGTTATCAGACTGCTGGAGCTGATGTATGTAGATACCAACAATTGAATCTCCTTTTTTGACCACACAACACACATAAACTAACACTCAGCCCAATTTTGAGGAATCTTGAAGACTGATTCAAATAATTGGTTATCTTTCATCAAGGAGTTACCATATCATAAACTGGATAGAACTAAGTTTTCTCTAATCTCCACTAGCACAGTGGAGCACAGAGCTGACAGCAAGATGGCTGTCTTTTTTTGTCAGTGCACTGCAGTAACTTTATGATCAGGGTCAAAATCATAAAGTGTCTTGGATTTACTGAATTTAGGCTGGCGATTTCCAGTTTTACAAAGCTTTCTTTTCTTAATACACACACACACATATATAACCTCCTGTACATATTATGAGTTACACATAAAGAGATGAAGAGAAGCAGATAATCGGATTGACCGTGAGAGGGATAGCTGTGCTGCAGTTGCACAGCAGAAATGGTTCATTTATTGCCTCATCCTAATTTAAATGTTCAAAGTGTTTTGCCCCATTTCAATTAATTGACTTTTAGTGAACTGTCAAAGGATGAGTTATTGTTAGCATTTTAGCTCACAGTTCATTAAAAAGCAGAATCATTGGTCCACCTGAATGATCAGCTCATTTATGACTTGAACGTTTGTACTGGATTATTGACATGAAAGATGTCACACTGAAATCAGTTCAAGAGGACTCTATTAATAATTGCCAAAGGAATATGATAAGAATAAGTTAACCTATTAATTACCAAGAACCTCTTGAAGACCAAACTCTTCAGAGAGAATCTCTTACCCTAACGTTTACCCTAACGTTTACCCTGTGCCACCCCACCCCTTTTGCTACTCTTTCTGTACTTCCCTCTATTTCTACACTGTCACCACTGTTGCCTCTGACTAGTGATGTTCTTCTATGTAGCTTATAAGTTGATTCTACTTGCAATTGTAAGTCACTTTAGATGAAAGTGTCTTCAAAATGCGTAAACAACATAACCAATGACATATACCAATGACTTGTTTTGTTGTAACTTAATTGTTTAGAAGAAAAGGCTTTATACCTGAGTTGACCTCTGTTGTTGTCAGTTTACATTCTCTCTGTGCTTTATTACATCTGTTACCCTCCTCCACAGCTCTTGAAAAAGATTTCCCGTACGCTTTACAATGTTGTTGTTATGTTCGTTCCATGGGAAGTGAGGATAAAAAAAATTGAAAGTAAGTCATCTGTTTCTTTTTTTTAAAAAGATTTTGGTGGCCTTTAATGACAGTAGCTTGACAGGAAAGGGGGCAGAGATAGAGAGGGGGAGACCTGCGGGAAAGGGCCATGGGCTGGAATCGAACCCAGGCCTCCTTGCGAGCGGAGGCTCCGCATATAGGCCGCCCGCTCTAGCCATTAGGCTACACTGCGGCCCAAGTCATCTCTTTCTCAATAGAATTAATCGATTTAATAACACAGAGACCTTTCAGTGACTTAGGTGACGTAGATATTTGTGTTTATGTCTATCTCCTCTTGTTGTGAGCTTTTTTCCCATTAATTTACTTGTTGTGAAATTTGACTTTCTTTATATATATATATATATATATATATATATAGGAATAGGACAGAGCCAATACCCACCAAGTGCCCTAAAAGTGCCATAGCAAGAATAGAACAGAAAAATATTTAATTATTCGAATTTGAATTGTTTTGTAGCTCTGCATTAAGTATTTACATTATTGATGTAAAATAACTCTCATGAATATATTTGAAAGATATACCATACATCTTGAATAATTTCCTTTTGACCGATGCAGGTCATTTTGGATCAGGTGTGGCCTCATACTTTATCTTCCTCCGTTGGTTGTTTGGGATCAACATTGTCCTCACGATCATGACTGGGGCCTTCATTGTTTTACCAGAGGTAAGTCAATCTCTAATATCAGTAGAGATGTAATCATCTTTAACTAACAATCTTGTTGTATTAACAGTCTATCAATACATTTACTCAATATAGTAATTTGATTAGGTAATGTATCATACTGCATGTAATAATTAGTAGATCAGTATCTTGTTAAAGTATGTGATTACGTATGTGAGTACTTTCTTTTATCCATTCATCCATCCTGCTTAACTTCTTATTTCCTGTGGAGTTGCGCTGTGCTCATATGGGGCAGACACAATAGACGTTGACCATGAGAATATGTTAAAAATGTACCAGTACTTCTACATCTACTGAAGGAGAAATGTTATATTGTAGCGATTAATGATAGAAGGATGCTCTCTGCCGGCAAGACAATATGGCTTTCATTGTTCCCAAGCGTCGATAGCATGATACAAATGTTTACAGCTTTAAAGGCATAATATCTGTCTCAGCAATTGTCACCCATAGTATTCAAGCACAAAGATGGGCTTGTAAAATAACTATTATTAGTTTTGTGCTGATGTGCAAGGCCTGTACAGTGCATGCCGGAAGTATCTAGAGAAGTAGATGACTCCCATGGAAGAATTCTTTACATTCTTGTGGATAGAGCATACTTAGCAGGCACACTGGAATGTTGTGGAGGTATGCATCAACTACCTAGAAGAGAAGAAGGTGGCCAGTTGGAGTGTTTTGACCATGTCACCAATCTGAGGATAGCCTGCAGGTGCACCAGAAGTTGACCAATTGTTTTGAGATTGCAAAAAGTATTGCATGATACTCAGAACTACTGAAGATTGCACAGTTTTGCCTTTGTACTTCCATCTAACAATGCAAATGTTGAGAGGGTTTTCTTATTAATGCAGAGCCAGTGGACCAAGGAGAGGAACCAGCTGTCTGTTGAGTAACTGAAGGGGATTATATTAGTGCCATACAATTTCAAAGATACTTCTGGCAAAGACTTATATGCATTTTTAGTCAGTAACCAAAAAATGCTGGTAAAGCAGTTTTACAGCGAAATATGGGTAGAAAAGGAGGACAAAGAATACAACCAAAGATTATATCATAGATCCTTTTTTGTTCAGTTAGTACCCTTGTTAGACTGTTTTATTATGTATTTTATTAAACTGAATCAATATTAGTAGATATTATGTTGAAGCTGAATTTTCTAACTCAGAATAAGTTAGAAAAGTTTAGAAAATTACTTTTATTTATTCATTCATTTGAAAAAAAGGAATTATTTTAGGTTGTCACAAATATATTTTTGTACCATTAAGTCCATCCATCCATCCATTATCAATACCGCTTATTCCCTCATGGGGTCGCAGGGGGAACTGGAGCCTATCCCAGTGGTCAACGGGCGAGAGGCAGTCCATCGCAGGGCCACACACAAGACATACAAGGACAAACAACCACTCACATTCACTCCTAAGGGCAATTTCCCCAATCTCCAATCAGCCTAACATGCAGGTCTTTGGACTGTGGGAGGAAGCCGGAGAACCCGGAGAGAACCCACGCAGACACAGGGAGAACATGCAAACTCCACCCAGAAAGGTCCTGGTTCCCCCGGGATTCGAACCCAGAACCCTCTTGCTGGGAGGCGACAGTGCTAACCACCACACCACCGTGCCGCCCTGTACCATTAAGTGTGTTCATTAATGTCTAAGAAGCCTGTCTGAATTTGTGTCTCGATAACAGGCCAGGTGTCCTTTTTTTATTGGAAATCAGAATATTAATCCATTTTCTGTACCGCTTATTCCCAAATGGGGTTGCTGGGGGACTGGAGCCTATTCCAGTATTCAATGGGCAAGAGGCAGTCTACACCCTGGATGGTCCTCCAGTCCATCTCGGCCACATAGAGACAGACAAACACGAACAACCACACACACTCACATTCACTCCTAGGGGCAATTTGGAATGTTCAATCAAGAATCACATGATCCACTGTATCAAAGGTGCCCAGATGCAGCAGAACTAATGCTAAGGCTTTGCCTGCATCTGTGTTCAGGCAGATATTGTTTGTCAACTTGATCAGAACTATGGTTCGACCTATAGCCTGACTGAAAAAAAAACACATTGTTTAACAGGAGAAAATCAGGAAGCTGTTGGTATACACATTTTTTACTGGACATTTCCTAAGAATATCCAGTTTGATATGTACTGGTAGGTGTTCAGTGCTATGGCATCATCTATTATTGACAACTGTTTTTAAGGCAAAATTTTCCAGTCTGAAGTGAGATGAAGCGAGTTGTTGTTGAAAACTGCCCGGCACACACTTTAGGTATTTAGTGGGTAACTCATCCAAGCAGCATACTGATGGGCTCAGGGTGTAGATGATCTCTTCAACTGTCTTGTGTGGAAAGGGTATACTATGTCAGCTCTAGAGGTCTAACTGGGGGCAGAGTGGTTATATGTGCTGTGGAAACCATTGCATTTTTAATCCCTTGAAATTTGTCATTGAAGAATTTTGCAAACTCATGACATTTAGATGCAGAAACACATTCCAAGGGCAGTGAGAATGGAGGGTTTGTAAGACTGTTTAATGTTGCAGACAGGACACAAGAGTTGTTCCCGCCATTTTTTATTATTTCAGAGAAATAACTCTCTTGTTCTATACAAAGTCTGGTTTTAAACAAACCTAATAATTTAAACTGGGCCCTGGGCCCTTCTGTTCATTGTTGAGTCTTTTTGAGCTACTGTTGGTTTGGGTGTAAGATCAAAGAAAACACAAAAATAATCATACAAAGCAATATCAACATCATCAACATTTGAAATAACACCTTTTGAAGTGTCCACATCTAGATGTGTGTGGGCTCATTCACATGCTGAGTTAGACAACAGTGACTTCTTTACCATACTCATCTTGGGCTGCATCCATATACACATTTATTTCCCCTGTTATGACCAAAGAGAGAATATCAGTGCAGACAACTGAAATTAATTTCGTAAAATCACCAGTAAAACAGTTCCATAGGGGTTTGTAGATGGTTATATGAATAATGGAAGACTGTTTTATCTCCATCCTGAGTGACACATAAAAAAAAACGTTTTGTGGGTGAGCATTTCTCCTAACGTTAGGCAGAAAACAGGATCTTTTTACCCAACCTTAATACATATATTGGTTCAAAACAGAGTAAAACTGCTTTGTCCTGTTAAGTGACATGCCATGCATTGTCAGACATAATCTCAATGATATTGTGTCTCTCTGAAAAGATATAAATGTTTCCAACTTGAGTCCAAAAATTTGTGTTTCTCCTCAAATTATGCAAAAAACAAGATATTTTTTAACTTTAATATAGTGCTTCACAACTGGATCAAACAGTTCTGACAAAACATGCCTTTTCAGACAGGATCTCAATGATATTGTGTCTCACTGAAAAGAATATTAACTGATTCACTGTTTCCAATGTGAATCCAAAAATGAGAATTTCTCCTCAGTTTAACATGATTATTTTTCAGAATGTTTTCATATATATATATATATATATATGTGTGTGTGTGTGCGTGTGTGTGGGTCTGTTAAATTTAATGGGAATATAGTTTATTGTCATTTATGGATTGTTACTGAGATGCAACTCCCACAGAATTGTATGTAACCTAGACACATGGAGACACATCATGGCTGCATGATAGCATAATACAAGTAGCCATATGTGGATTTCTTCTCATACAGAAATATAAAAAGATTTTAAAAAAATAAAAAAAAATGTTTTATTTGCGTTGAAAACATTAATATGTAGATATCTTAGAACAGCTGAGTGAATCTTCAACAAAAAAATACAGTAGTTGACAACAACAGAAAGCAGGGAAAGGCTGCTGCATTTATCCATTACTGGCAAATAGACACTTGCATTGTCCTTGCAAGTGTCATTGTTTTTATAGCCTTTCTGGCTACCTAATCTTATTCTCACATTTCATCTCCCCTCACCTCCATGATAAGGGGAGATGAACACATCTCCATGCTCATTCTCTTCCAAGCTTTATCTTGCATCTGCTTAGTAAGTAAAATGACCCACCAATAAAACATCATAGACGCTCTGTCAGATTTTATGTCTCTGTTTGTTTTATGCTGCAGATTATTTGACCAAAGATAATTCAGAGTTAGTCTACCACAGCAAAACCGTCATTTCACACACACTGAGTTAAATTTAGTTTTATGGGATAGTCTCCTTCACAGGGTAACTCAAGATATAAATTAGTTTCTGTACCACTGTTCCTTAAACATTATATGGCTGGGTATGCAGCATTTTTTAAATGTCACTCTTGACTAAGTCAATTTTCTGTCTTAAATAATCCATTTGGATTATGAATCACTCCTTAATCATTTGTGTTTTTTGTTTGAATCTCAACAATTAGTGAACAAACAAATTATGATAATCCACAGGTCAAAGTGGCTGGGTGCATCAAAAAGTAAACAACATTACCCAGTGGCGGGCCGTGCATTTTACACCTAGGCCTTCACTAGTGCTCCGTCTGAATCAATTCACCCCTCAATAACTATTTTATGGTTATAGAAATCATCTTAATATGTAGAAATACAGTAGGGATGTCCCGATCCAGCTTTTTGTATTAAAGTTGATTTTTTTTTTCTACTTACTTAGTTGTCAGACTCATGTTGAACAGGGATTTACTCTTATAACAACTAAAGTTTACACAGACCTGTGGGTTAGGAGATGCTAATGCTAATGCTCGGGTGGGATCGGACTTTAAAAAAAAAATGTATCTGGAGTCTCGATTGGCATTTTCTCATGCCGGCCGATACGATCCAAATATCGGATAAGGACAATCCTAAAATACAGTCTAAAGATCAGGGGTGAACAAGTCTTCTACTCCTGCAGCTACAGCGGCGATCGCCCCCCCCCCCCAAAAAAAAACAAACAAAAACAAAACAAAAACATCAATAATGTCCTCATAAACTCGCAATACCATTTAGGAAAAAAACAACATTTTACTCACTTACTTTTCTTGAAAAGTCCGTTTTGAAAATGGTCTTGACAGTAAATCCGCCACGAAATAATAAAATAGCTATTACACTAACACAACTATATTTCGGTTTGTTTGCTAGCTTTGCCCTGATTGGATATCTGACTATCCAATCAGCGGGTGTGGGTACGGTGGCATTTCCGGGGCCTTCGCGCAGGCCCTGGCATCACCAACCTAACATCTGATTGGTTGAAGCAACAGTGTACTCGACATGTATTTTCTGTGGGGGGGGGCCTGCAGAACGGATTGTGAAGGCCTCCAGGCAGACATCTTTGACTTTGACCCTGCCTAGCGACAAAGGATGTCTGAAATGTGATTGGTTAAATGCTTTTATATGAAAATACATGTCTGGAAGCAGCGCAACCAGGGGAGAAGCTATGAAAGGAAGCTGACAGACTATTTAGAGATATTTAATACCTTTTTTATGGACAAAATATCATTAACATCAGTCTGTGATTCAGATATTTTCTTAGGCCTTCAGAGAAGGCCTTGCAGGCCCTGACGGCCCACCACTGACATTACCAGATGTTGATGCCAAACAATTGCGATAACCAATACATGCGTTTGATGTATCTGATTTAATTGGCATGGTTTGTCTCTCATAGCTGTTGGCTGGAGCTCCATTTGGAACAACAAGAAGTAAAACCATCCCCAAGGAACATCTGGCCTCAGCCCAGGACTTGGACACCATTTGGTCTCTTGGGGTAAGTTTTTTTTCGTCTCTCAATTTTGTTTGTTCTAAAATGCACCTCACAGAGACACAATGTAAAATTATTCAGCAAGTTCCATTAAATTATAGATAGAATTGTATACTAAGATTATATTCACAACATTCGCAACAAGTGCACTTAAAGGGTAGCATTTCTTCAATCCAGGTCCAGTTGAACATTTTATATAATCACCATCACCTATAATTCTGTGCTGTCATTGACGTTAATTGTTTTTTTAAAATAATTTTCCACAGGGCTACCTGCAGTACTCTGTGTTATTCTATGGTTACTATGGCAGGGTGAGGAAAATTGGCAGTGCAGGGTACCGCTTGCCCCTTGCATACTTCCTAGTTGGGATGGCTGTCTTTGCGTACAGTTTCATCATTCTGCTACGAAAGTAATCTTTTTGCTCTTTACACATGTTTAAATATTCTTAGATATAATATTGTTTAACCTATTTGTCCAAGTATAGCTTATCATTTATTTAGATGCTATGAAAACTTGTTTTTGATTTGATCATATGTCCCACAGAATGGCCAAAAACTCTCGCCTGAGTCTGGCCAGTGCGTCCGATGAGAACTTTACATTCTGTTGGAGAGTATTTTGTGCCTGGGATTACCTGATTGGTAACCCAGAGGCTGCAGAGAGCAAAGGAGCTGCCATCGTCAATAACATCAGGGTCAGAGACATATGGCCATTAACACTACAGACTCAATCATCCGTACTCAACACCTTTGCTTACAAACAGAATATTGATGTTTAGAAACTGTTATTAAAACATTATGATAAATAATTTCTGCACAGGAAGCTATTGTTGAAGAGCAGCAAAAGAAGAAGGATACAAGTTTGTAAGTGTCTCTTATCAGTGTTCTGGCATGTTGTCATTATCTTGAAAGGGTTTCCTTTCTTTAAACCCTTTGAGATAATGAACAAAAGGGTTTAAAATGAATTACCTGTTGAAATATTCAAAAGTCCAGTCTAATTAGAGCACTCATTCTGCGCTCATGGCATGAAAATGGATAACAATAAAATGACGTGATACGAGTGAGACATGATATGAAACAGACCACAGAAATGTAGTGCTTTGAACGCTTTTAAGCTTGGCATATCATGACAAACAAATGATGTCTGAAGAAGATCTTAAAAGTAGGCCAAGAAGAAAAACACACTAACAGCGCTATGTTGTTATTATTCAATAAAGGAATTACAAAATTACTGTCAAAATTTAGAAGGGTTGGAAACAGGTTCTGTCGTACTGCTTCCACAGAAATTCAGAGCGCAAGTTGCAGCCAGGTGCAGCTGATCAATTGATCATCAACAGATGCAAAAGTATGAATAATTTGCAGCTCTGAAGCACTCAGGTGTGTGTTAACACAAGGCAAAGGAGGAATCACAGTAATGAGCTCCAAAAATAAACTCTTGGGAATCTGGGGTATGATTTATAAGACCATTTCCAAACTATTTGGACTCCATCATTTTACAGACAGAAAGATTATTTATGCATGAAAAACATTCAGATGATGGTCAGTTTCTTCAGTAGTGGATGTCCCATCAAGGTCACATTATGGTCAAAATTTAATTTAGCTTTCAAATAATTCCATAATAGTTCTTCCACACTCGGGCAGAACAGAGATAAAAATTTGAAGAAATGATCAAGTATTCATAATTTAGAGGAGCAAAATTACATCCAGTCAAATAAAATCAGAAACAATAACATACAACAAAACATGAAGAATGATACAATATTGAGCCACACAAGAATCAAAATACTCATTTCCAGTTTATGTTAATAACCTTAACGTGTTTCAAACCCTTTTTTCAGGGCAGTTCTGATCAGTCTTCGTATCTTAGCCAACATCCTGGTGGTGCTGTCCTTAGCTGGTAGCATCTACATAATCTATTTTGTGGTGGATCGTTCCCAGAAACTGGAGCAGGAGAAGCCGGAGCTGACTCTGTGGGAAAAGAATGAGGTACATGAGCAGAACAGACATCACCATCAAGATCATTACTTTGATTAGATTATCCAGCATATAGTAAAAAGAAATAATTAAAGCGGAGATGAGTAGAAGACAAAAACTGAATGTAGCTTATTTAAGAGAGAATCATATTCAAATTTGATAAATTAAGGCTATAGTGATACATCAATTTTGTTGATTATGTTAATTCTGCAATTGTGTTTATATTTTAAATATTTGTTGAAACTCTATGCTTTTTTTGCAAATGAAAGATTACTCCGTCTAGCAGCTGTGCTGGAAAAGAAACTTTATTAACCCTGTAACATTCTCCTCAACCATTTGGTATAGCACATTTTTCACTGATTGTACTCGGCCATTGGATATACTAAAGGAAGTCCACTTACCTCAAATAGCACTAAAGTTAAGATTAGGTATGTGATGCCTAAATTTCAAGCAAAATATATTTCTTGTTTAATATTCTTACACTATAAGGTGTCACCCCAACTTTTTTTTTTTTTAAAAAGGCCAAAAATCTGGTTGTTATTGCACCAAAGAAATGTAAAACATATAAACAAATATTTTCCTGTCCTTGTTTCTAAGTATGGATGTTAAAGGATGAAAAAAATCAGACAATCCTGAGGGAATCTTTCCAATGTGTGGGAATCTTTAAAAACGATAGGTATTCAAACCATGCTCTGCACTTTTTTGCAAAACAGAAATAGTTTACCACCAAAGCACAACAGTTCTGTTTAAAAACAGCAAGACATTGCAGACATTGCCAAACATTGGTGAGTACAATGCCTTGCAGTTGATTAAGAGTGGTTATTTATGGTGTTTAAAACAAAATTAGTGACAAATAAGACCCCATATATAGATTAGTAAAGACAAATTCAGACCAAGTAGTCATTGAAAAATAATAAATCATTAAATTGGTTAAATCGGCCCCTCCCTGGACTGCCACCTTATCGTGGTGGAGGGGTTTGAGTGTCCCAGTGATTCTAGGAGCTATGTTGTCCGGGGCTTCAAGCCCCTGGTAGGGTCACCCAAGGCAAATATGTCCTAGGTGAGGGATCAGACGAAGAGCAGCCCAAAGACCCCTTATGAAGAAAAACATAAATGGACCCAGTGTTCCCTCGCCCGGACGCGGGTCACTAGGGACCCACCCTGGAGCCAGGCCCAGAGGTGGGGCACACTGGCAAGCGTCTGGTGGCCGGGATTTAGCCCATGGAGCCCAGCCGGGCTCAGCCCGAAAAGGCCACATGGGCCCCCCCTCCATTGGGCTCAACACCCATAAGAGGCGCCAAAGGGGTCGGATGCAATGTGGAGCGGGTGGCAGCCGGAGTCGGGGACCTTGGCGAACCGATTCCCGGCTGCAGAAGCTGGCTCTAGGGATGTGGAATGTCACGTCACTGGCGGGGAAGGAGCCTGAGTTGGTGTGCGAGGCAGAGATTTTGACTGGACATAGTCGGTCTCGCCTCGACACACAGCTCTGGCTCTGGAACCAGCCTTCTTGAGAGGGGTTGGACGCTCATCTACTCTGGAGTTTCCCCTGGTGAGATGTGCCGAGCAGGAGTGGACATACTCATTGCCCCCCATCTTGGTGCCTGTATGTTGGGGTTTACCCCGGTGAACGAGAGGGTAGCATCCCTTCACCTTTGGGTGGGGGGACGGGTACTGACTGTCGTGGCGGCAACCCTCGAACCCGCTGGTGGACACCGGCGGTGAGGGTCAGGCTGAAGAAAGAGTCCTATCTGGCCTTTTTGGCCTGTGGGACTCCAGAGCAAGCCGATGGGTATCGGGAGTACAGCCGACATGCGGCTCGGGTGGTTGCAGAGGCAATAACTCGGGTGTGGGAGGAGTTTGGGGAGGCCATGGGAAAAGACTTCCGTATGGCTTCGAGGCGATTCTGGTCCACCATTCGGCGTCTCGGGGGAGGAAGCAGTGCTCCACCAACACTGTTTACAGTGGGGATGGCGTGCTGTTGACCTCAACTCGTGACGTTGTGGGTCGGTGGGCGGAGTACTTCGAAGACCTCCTCAATCCCACTGGCACGTCTTGCATTGGAGGGGCAGAGCCTGAGGATCTGGAGTTGGGCTCTCCAATCTCCGGAGATTGAAGTCACCGAGGAAAAGCTCTGTGATGGCAAGGCTCCGGGGGTGGATGAGATTCAGCCGGAGTTCCTCAAGGCTCTGGATGTTGTGGGGCTGCGTTGGCTAACACAAATCTGCAACATCGCGTGGACATCAGGGGCAGTTCCGCTGGATTGGCAGACTGGGGTGGTGGTCCCCCTATTTAAAAAGGGGGACCGAAGGGTGTGTTCCAACTACAGGGGGATTACACTCTTAAGCCTCCCTGGGAAGGTCTATTCAGCGGTTCTGGAGAGGAGGGTCCGTCTGATAGTCGAACCTCGGATTGAGGAGGAGCAGTGTGGTTTTCGTCCTGGCCGTGGAACGCTGGACCAGCTCTATACCCTCAGCGGGGTCCTGGAAGGTGCATGGGAGTTCGCTCAACCAGTCCACATGTGTTTTGTGGACTTGAAAAAGGAGTTCAAGTATCTCGGGGTCTTGTTCGCGAATGGGGGTAGGGGGCGTGAGATCGATAGGCAAATCGGTGCGGCGTCTGCAGTAATGCGGGCGCTGTACCGGTCTGTCGTGATGAAGAGACAGTTTATCAACAATTTATCAAGTTTATCAACGACAATTTATCAGTCGATTTACATTCCCACCCTCGTCTATGGCCACAAACTCTGGGTAGTGACTGAAAGAACGAGATCCCGGATACAAGCAGCCGAAATGAGTTTCCTCTGCAGGGTGGCTGGGCTCTCCCTTAGAGATAGGGTGAGAAGCTCGGCCATCCTGTAGGGGCTCAGATTAGAGCCGCTCCTCCTCCACGTTGAGAGGAGCCAGGTGAGGTGGCTCGGGCATCTATCTGGATGCCTCCTGGTCACCTCCCTGGTGAGGTGTTCCGGGCATGTCCCACCGGGAGAAGGCCCAGAGGAAGACCCAGGATACGCTGGAGGGACTGTGTCCCGGCTGGCCTGGGAACGCCTCGGGATCCCCCCGGAGGCATTCCCAGGCCTCCGGAGAGCTGGCAGAAGTGGCCGGGGAGAGGGAAGTCTGGGTTTCCTTGATTCGGCTGCTGCCCCCGCGACCCGACCCCGGATAAGCGGTGGAGAATGGATGGATGGATGGATGGATGGATGGATGGTTTATAAAAATATTATACCAGCTGCTGCCTTGGAAGAAAATCTGATCACACATCCTTTTTGTGAACCTCCAGGTGAGTGTGGTGGTTTCTCTCATCACCATGATTGCTCCTTCTGCCTTTGAGCTTGTGGCTCAACTAGAGATGTACCACCCAAGAACCTCTCTGCGATTTCAGCTAGCCAGGTATTTCTTATATTTTTCATCAAAGCTTAATGTTACCTAAAGTACAAGCCACATTCACCGAATCCACACTTTTGCCAAAACAATGAGCCGTAATAAGTCTAGTGTCTTGCTAAAGCACACCTTAATATGTGAAAATGTAGAGTAAACCAGTTTTGATTTCCAGGAAACTTTTATCTCATGGCCAATATTACATACAAAATACCCTAATGTGTTACTGCAAACTGACACTGCTACGACAATGTGTTTGACAGAGTGCTTGTATTATACCTTGGAAATCTCTACAGCCTGATTATTGCTCTCCTTGATAAAGTCAACAGTATGAGCTCTGCTGTGAGTACCAAAATTATTCACTGTTTTTGTCATTATGAAAAATTGAGTTCAGGCAGCAATATATGTTAACCCGCTGCAGAATTGTCACTGTTAATTTATGAGTTAGATTCTATCACTGCTTGCCACATCTCGCACTTAAACCAAAATCAATTAAAAGAATATAAACTGCAACTCTATAGTGCACCGGCTACCATCATCTCAACGTCAAGTTTAGGGTCCAACCATATAATCCTCATCACCCTCTAAAATCAGTCAGTATTTTAGACAGGTGCAGATTAACAGTGATATTCACATTGATGATCTTTTCCCTTTGTCACTTGTTTGTCACTTGTTTATTTTTCAAATATAATTTCTGCTTTTAACAAATAAGGATGTTAAGAGCATTAAACACATGGCCATTGTTACACATTGAGGTGAGGTTACTTGTACATGCTAACCAGTGTTTTGATAATTCAAATATGAATTCAAAATTACAATGATATGTGCAAATTAAGCACATTTCATATTTAAACTGTGACTGCAAAGATGGAACTAAGTTTTACCATTTATGATTTGAAAAAATGACATACATTAGAAGTTAATGTTACTAAGATAACCTCCTATATATATTTATCTTACAGCTCCAAGTGACTTCAGGTAATTTGAGTGATACTAATTCTTTCTTGGCCACCATCTCTCTGCCTGAGACGGATAGCCCCTCCACCCTGGTTTCAGAAATCTCTTTCTCAGGACATCAGAAAAGTACCATAGAAACCAGTACCGTTAGTACTACAGTACTAAACTTTACCAACAACAGCAGTGGCAGTTCATGGGGTGTCTACAACCAGACTGCTCTTTTTGAGAAGAACGCTCGTTCTCAGCAGGACCAATGCTGGGAGACCTATGTTGGACAGGTTATTTTTGTGATTGTTCTACTCCACAGTGACACACACACAGAAACATATATATATATAATCTTTTTTGAGAACGACAACACTGATTTTATATTTTCTTTATGGACTTGACAGTATGTATTTTGTCTTTCCAGGAGATGCTGAAGCTTTCTATCATTGACATGATCTTCACAGTGGCCAGCATCTTACTTATTGACTTTATTAGAGGGCTGGTGGTTCGTTACCTGAGTGACTGTTGCTGCTGGGATTTAGAGAGTAAATTTGTAAGTGTTTGTCTTTTAAAGATGGTTGTCTTGCCAATGTTGCAACAATGGAATTTTCACAAGCTATCGACAACGTTGCGAATACTAAAGCAGAACTGGAGAGTTGTTTTTGTCTCTTTTTTTTGTGTGTAATAATCAACCCATTTGATGTGCAGTGACATGGAGAGTTGATTAAACCATTTTCTAAGCAGCCAATTTAAATCTAGTGGAACAGGTATTTGAATGGATGTTATCTTGTTTAAATTAAGTAACATGATCTCTTATTTTAAACATTTAAAAAGCATGTTACCTTGTGTTAGTTAATCACACTGAGTAGTTCTAGGATTAAACATACTAGGCCTAGTCTAGTTTAGCACTCAATGACTTTTGCCTGTGTCTATGATTTCTTGGTTGCCAACTTATACATTGTCACAATGCACGATTTAAAATCACATCAAAGCATATTCAATGATCTATAGAAAAATGGTAATTTGTTATTAAATTTTTAAAATTGTTTTTGACAGCCTGAATATGGAGAATTCAAAATAGCTGAGAATGTCCTGCATCTGATTTATAACCAAGGAATGATCTGGTAAGTCTGAAAAGTTATGGAACAGACATTAATTCAGATACAATAGTCTAGCTGGTGCTGATTGGCCTCCATGACCCTGGTTAAAAGAGTGAGGCTCCTTATAACCTTTCCATTTCACCTCTGCAGTTGGTTAAGCCATAATTTTTTAGTCAATTTAAGAAACGTCACCTTGCAGCTATAAACATAATGAATTGATACAATGGACCTCTGAATGTAATGTCCTTTTCTATGGGGTGTGACCCATGTTCTATGTGTGTGTGTGTGTGTGTGTGTGTGTGTGTGCGTGCATCTTGTTTACATTAGGATGGGAGCATTTTTCTCTCCTTGCCTTCCTGCCTTCAATGTGCTGAAGCTGATCGGTCTGATGTATCTGAGGAGCTGGGCTGTCCTCACTTGTAATGTTCCCCATCAGCAGGTCTTCCGAGCTTCGAGGTCTGACATGTACACACACACTCATGCGCACGTGCATATGAATACATTCAGTAAGGGTATCATCATAGAATAGTCTCTCTTGAACAACCAAGTATGATTATTGTTTTCATTTTTTGCCAGGTATACAATTTTAACTTGCTGTCCAGTGTGCATTTAGTGCATATATTTAGTAGTTTTTATTTACGATAACATTACTGGATTTTACATTTTTATATGTAGGGAAATTGCTAACATTATTCACTAGTCCATTGAAATCATTGACTATTCACTGACTATCTTAATTGTGTTCAGAAGCTATAGCCAAATGTAAAGCAGCTGTGATATTGATAGTGCAGCTGCTAAAAGTAGTTCCAGAGTCCTGTTTCCTATTGTGTTCCATCAGCTTTCCTTTAATGATACCTTTTAAGTGCTTTAGGAACTAAGGATATTAATTGCTGCAGTTTTTCTGAAAAGTCTGTCTATTTACGGTTAACCCAATATTTCAGCTGCTGTGTGTGGTTATTGCTGTGTGGTTCTCTTCTTCGCAATGCGCTGTACAATTTTATTTGCCGACAGATGTTGTCTGCAAGGAGGCCAAGCACATAGATTCTGTGTGTATGAAGCCAAGCTATTAGAAGTAGTGCAAAACAAGGTCTGGCATATCTGATTGGGAAGTCCTGCAGAAAACCTTTCTCTCAACCTCTAAAATCTTCTTTTTTGGGGGCTGTGTTACTTAAAATCTAATTTAAATATCACAATATTTTGTAAATACACTTGAGTTGCTAATTGAACACACAAAAACAGTTTATTTTTCACAGGGTTAATTAATGCACTAACAAACGAAGCAGGCTCACCCAGGCTCCTGTAATCTGAAACCAGATGCGCTGTTTGGACAATTTTCCATGGAAAAAGAACCCTTTGAGCCTGAATACATCCTGTCACAGATGTATGAAATAGGATGAGTCTCCTAATAGGTGGAGAGTCTGAACCATAAAGGATTAACCACCAGCCCAGATCTGGGAAATGGGCTTCTAGTTGCAGATTTGTACTGGTAACTGCTCATTCCGCCGCAATCCATCAGGCCTATACTTCAAAATTTGCTCATCATTTAGGTGGGTCAGTGGTAAAACAAGGTGGAATTGGTATCCATGGCCGAGCAGCTGCGTCCATGCCATATATTAACAGGTGCTATGCCAGAAAATAATAACATACCACTTTGTGTCAGATACAGTGGTAGAGAGCTTGTTGTTGTTGTGGTAGAGAGCATGTCGTTATTGGTTTTTGCAGTTGTCAGGAGAATGGTACTTGTCCGACTGTATTGTGGTTTTAAGTGTAAAGTTTGGTAAAGGGGGGATTATGGAGTGGGGTTGATTCGGAGGTCCAGTGAAAGGACCTCTGAATGCTTCAGCATACCAAGAAAACATTTCCATCCTCATAAATTTCATCGGAATAGTTTGGAGATGGCACCTTCCTCTTTCAACATGACATACATTCCAAAACATCCTTTCCTCAAGATTGTAAACTGTAATTTACCATGTGGATTAAGAATGGGATTTCACTTAAATTCATATGTAAATCAAGGCAAGTGAGCGAACACTTTTGGAAATATAGTCTATATATTTAGTATAAAAAGAGACAAAAGTTTACATATATTGTAACTGTAGAGATTATCTACACGATGGTTTGGTGATTTGCATCTTCTGCTCATATGACAAAAGGATTCCTTGCCTTTGTTTACAGATTTTTTTTATTTATTTTTATTGTTTTGTTTGCAGATTATGTTCTCACCAGGGCCTCCATATAAATAATGGCTTGGTTGAATGGTGATTCAATAATTTAACTAACTGACTCTTAAGAGTGATTATACATAGTTGTTTGTCTCTGTGTAGCCCTGTGATGAACTGGTAAACTGTTAATCACATAGGCCCTTCTTCAAATGCAGTTGCAGCTGGGATATGTCCTAGGCCTTCTATGATCTTAGAGAATTAATAACATTGTATTAAAACTTTTGTTATTTACTAGGATGTAAGCAAACAAAAATCAATGACAAAGTTATAGAATTTCCAGATTTTGTCACCAACACTGCTGTTTTTTCTGATATAATTTCAGATCCTGTTTCTGTTTGCTTATCGCTACAATTGTTCAGCTACTCCTGAACTGACATTTGAAAAATGTTGACATTCGTTGTCAGACTATTTTGTATGTTACCTGGTCTCTGCAAAAAAGTTGCCTCCATGATTAATAACAAGTCCATGGATGAAAGGAATTTGACAAATCACACAGATGAGCCCGGAGAAATACAGTTTCCATCTCTGCAGTAACGGAAGTGGATTTGTAGTCCTTGCAATACATTCAACACTACGTTAACTTCAACCAGGAATACAAAATCCATTTTAGGTCCATCTTCCTCTGCCAAAAAAAAACAAAAACAAAGCTAGAGGTTAGCTCATCGTAGGGGGTCAGTTTAAACCACTGACTCGTTCAGATTTTAAAAACAGACATACCTTAGTAAGGGCATGTCCAAGACATGTCTAGATTACCTTATTCACGATCAAAGAATTAAAAGGTACATAATCATCCAAAGTTAAAATGACATCTACTTCCGCAAAGTTTGTGGGAGAGTTTAATGGCCACTTAACATTCATGTTTTGCTTTATTGCTGGAACAGATTGTTATTCAGAGTCTTTACTTGGGAACATGAGAATAGACCAGAGAAACGATTGATGCACAAATGCGTCAATCATTCAAACTACATGAAAAGCAGTCTTGGGCTGGAATGTAATATGAAACATATACTGTGGAAAAGTATTCAGAACGCTTTAAATTTTTCCACTGTCTCATTGCAGCCATTTGCTAAAAATAAAAAAAGTTAATTTTATTTCTCATTAATTTACACTCAGCACCCCAGCTTGACAGAAAAAACTAATTTAGAAATGTTTGCAAATTTAATAAAAAAAGATAAACAGAAATATCACATCATCATAAGTATTCAAACCCTTTGCTCAGTATTGAGTAGAAGCACACTTTTGAACTAGTACAGCCATGAATCTTCTTGGGAATGATGCAACAAGTTTTTCCACACCTGGATTTGGGGATCCTCTGCCATTCTTCCTTGCAGATCCTCTCCAGTTCTGTCAGGTTGAATGGTGAACGTTGGTGGACAGCCATATAGGTCTCAGCCAGAGCCCCCACCTAAACCCAATTGAGCATCTCAATTGGGTTTAGGTGGGGGCTCTGGCTGAACCAGTCAAGAATGGTCACAGAGATGTTCCCAAGCCACTTCTTTGTTATTTTCGCAGTGTGCTTAGGGTCATTGTCCTGTTGGAAGGTTAACCTTCGGCCCAGTCTGAGCACTCTGGAAGAGGTTTTCTTCCAGGATATCTCTGTACTTGGCCGCATTCATCTTTCCTTTAATCGCAACCAGTCGTCCTGTACCTGCAGCTGAAAAACACCCCAGCAGTGCTTGGTATTCTCCAAAATTCTCCGCTTAGAATTAACGCAAAAAGTTCAATCCTGGTATCATCAGACCAGAGAATCTTCTTTCTCATATTCTGGGAGTCCATGTGCTTTTTGGCAATCTCTATGCAGGCTTTCATATGTCTTGCACTATGGAGAGGCTTCCGTCAGCCCACACTTCTTCCATTTAAGGATTATGGAGGCCACTGTGCTCTTAGGAACCTCGAGTGCTGCAGAAATTCTTTTGTAACCTTGGTCAGATCTGTGCCTTGCCACAATTCTGTCTTTGAACTCCGTGGGCAGTTCCTTCAACCTCATGATTTTTCGTTTTCTCTGACATGTACTGTGAACTGTAAGGTCTTATATAGACAGGTGTGAGCCTTTCCTTATAAAGTCCAATCAGTTTAATTAAACACAGCTGGACTCCAATGACGGAGGAGAACCATCTCAAGGAGGATTGGAAGAAATGGAGAGCATGTGAGTTAAATATTATTATCACAGCAAAGGGTCTGAATAGTTATGACCATTTGATATTTCAGTTTTTCTCTTTTTAATAAATTTGCAAAAATGTCTATATTTCTGTTTTTTCTGTCAAGGTGTGGTGCTGAGTGTGTACATTAATGAGAAATAAAATGAACTTTTTGGATTTTAGCAAATGGCTGCAATGAAACAAAGAGTGAAAAATTTAAAGGGGTCTGAATACTTTCCATACCCACTGTGGAGAGAGAACTTTATTCCTCCCCGAAGAGAAATTTGGTGTTAAAGTTTAAGCATAAAATTAATTCTCAAATTCACCAGAGTTGCCTGATAAAGGTCCTTCAACATGAGGGAAGTGTTGCATGATCTGATGAGAAACCAACTCATCTTTAGCATGGAAAATCAGACTTCCGGCACAATGAAAGAAGCAACAACCACAGAACTAAAACAAACTAATACGATTATGACACCTATAAGAAGGATAAGAATCGCTGCTTTCCATGTGCCAAACATAAAATCGAAGCAGTTGTGCAGATATATAAGCCACTGGCCTCTGTTTGCCCCCATGTTCCTGCAAAAAGAACAGATGTCATGCAACCATGTTTCATCTACTACTTGGATAGGGTTTGGAATAATAAGAGTAGGAGCACTTTGAGGAGCCAGCTTTAGCTGAGTAAAAGGGGACTCAGACATCCATTTAAACCAATCACCAGCCTGGAGTCCATTTCCATGAATGAGGGCACCTAGAGGGGCTTCAAGAAGAGAATAGTTAGGAATATAATTCCTACAGTAAGATGTCATGCCTATGAAAGTCATGATCTTCTTCTTTGTGATTATTTTAGTAATGTTTTGAACATAAACCACACACGTTGGAGATAGGGAATGCCCATCTCTTGCAATCATGTGACCCAAGAACACCACCTAATTTTAGATTGAACAGAGTGGTTTTGTGTCCCCATGTATGAAGGTGTTTGAGCAGACTCACTGTCTCACATTGCTCTCTGTTTGGGCTGCACAGAAGAAGGTCATCCATGTATTGCAGCAAAGAAGAAGTAAGCTTGCTTTCTAGCTCGCTTTCAGAACTGCAT